AGGCGAGGCTGTCAATTAGCTCCCCCCCCCGGCGCTTTCCCCAACAGAGCAGAACCCCCGTCTCCCGCGAGGAACCAGCCCGGCGCTTACCTGCTTTAGGTAGGGCGAAGAGGCGCTCCTCCCGCCCAAGAGGCCGAAGCTCAACGCTGCTGCTCGCGGGGCTCGGCACCCGGCGGGATTGGCAGCCTGGCCACCCCCGGGGCCCTTCCTCCCCCCGGCCGACCCGAAAGTTGAGCCAGCCGGCGCAGGGGGCGTGTCGTGGCGGGGCTGGGGACCGACGGGGGTGGGAGGTGAGGCTGAGAAAGCTCTTCCTTTCCTCGCGCGACGCTCCCTCGCTCTCTGCTCTGGGAAGCTACCAGCCCGACACTGCCGTGACATCAAGCTCCATTCAGGGTGCTTATCAGGCCCTCGGCCAGCCCTTTGCAACCAGATTGCAGGCTAATAAATCACCTCCGTTGCCCCGCTCGCGGCTCCGGAGAAATCTTTGTGCGTCGAGTAACCCAGCTCTCGCCTTACGTACAAGCAGCCCGTCCCGCCTCCCGCGGCTCATCCCTGCCCAGGTTCTCTGTGGCGCCGCAATTCCAGACCTGGTTTTGTGGCTGGCGCTCCCGCTGGTTTCATCCACGCCTCTTCCCTCTTTCTGCGTTGTACTCAGGCCGAGACAACAAATCCCATCTCAGGAGTGGAAAGATTTGGGTACTGGGGGTTGGTTGATAGGTTGGTTGGTTGGACTCCAGATGGACGCGCTGGCTGGTTGGTTTTCGGTCTAGTTTCACAAAACGCCTACGGTGAGGAAATTCCTGGAGAACTCTGCATAGCCTCAGAGGAGCTGTATAAAATTGCTGCTGTTGTTCAGCTTCGGTGTTAAAAAGATCCTGGTGTTGACCCTCGCATTTCCTTGATATTTTAAGGGTCCACTTTGTGGCTTAGACTCAAACAGCAATCCTTTCCCATGCATCACACCCCACCCCCTGTTCCACAGCACTCAGTGAAACAAGGAAGACTGCTGGCTCTAAGGGGTGGGGTGGGACCTGTCTGCCCTGTTTACCTGTTAGTCATCCTGAGGTCAACAGCCCAATTACACGAACTAGAGCAGGAAAGATGGCAATCTGTCTATCAGGGAAGCACATAGAATTCAACCAAAGTCCATACACTGACAGTGCCACTGGTAATAGAATATCATATACCATTGCTAAGAAATGCAGATTTGTCCCAGGGAGCATTGGTATATTCAATTACTGGCTGGCATGGAGTGTTTGGGGATGCAGACATGGTTCAGGAATGATTTCTGAAATGCATAGTTACGTAAAGGAGCAGGAAATAGAAAGAAGTGTGCACTGGGCCTAATGGGGCAAAGTAGGAGAATTTGGAAGCACTGGATATGTAAAGTCTTTTTTGAGGTTGTAGGTAGTTCTCCTATGGTTTGTCTGCTGTATTGCCCATAGTTGGCAAGCAGGGAGGAACTAGTCTTCCTTGGGTGACCCTACTGCCTTCTACACGTGTCTCTAAGCTTTCTGGCTATCATAGGGCCTTAAGGATGGTTCAGCATCTACCTCCAGAAAAGCTTTCTGGCAGAGCAGATAAAAACCCATGATTAAACTGTTCAAACATAAAGTTGAACACATTTCATTTTTGAACATATTTAAATTGGGTTTTAATTTAACTCAGATTTTTAAACCGTCCTTAAAATATTTTATGAAAACTTGGATATAATGCAACAATATAACCTTAAACAACATTTCTGATTCTATTTCACTTCCTAATATGGAGATTAGAAGATCTTTTAACACACCTGGAACTGACTTTTCTCAAAAAACACAAAGACAAAGAAGATCAGTGAACAGAGATTTTGAGAGTATGCAAAAGTATACTTAAAAGCTGGTGATATCTGTTAATGTTGAATGATGAAAAGGAAACGTGCTGGGTGAAAGAAGGGCACTGGGCACTTGCAACCAGCCAGCCTTGACCATTCTTTCAAAAGAACCCTCAAACCGTGTTCAGAAATAGCCCAACTAACACAAAGGGGGGTTAAGAGGAGTGTCAGGGATGTTTACACCCCTCTTCGCCCAATGCTGCTCCTCCATGCCCTCCTGCAATAGGCCCCCCTCCCTAAATAATAAAAACTGTAAAAAGGATGGTCATATCAAACTCTCTCTTGACAACAGAAAACCTGTAATAAACTCATTGGTGACAAAACCAGCAACACACAGCTGTCAAAACCTGGCTCTCTTTCCTGATTTAAATTGGTTCTAATGCTCTTTCAGAAAAGCATTAAACCCATATCTATAAGAAGTCCCCATAAAACTTGACAAGCACTTCAAAAAGTGCTGGTCAGGCCTTACCTTTTGGCTTGGGCTACAAGAGAGAAGAAACTGGACCCTTGAGATCCATAGAAGCATCTCAAGTGTCCAGTTTCTTCTCTCTTGTAGCCCAAGCCAAAATGGCCATAGAAGTCAGTGACCAAAGGAGAGTCTTGCCCATAGCAGCCTGAAGTGGATAACAGGAGCTGGCCAGGTCCCAACTCCTCATCACGTCTGCAACCCCATTGTCGATCAAGCATACTAGATGGTATCCACTGCCAAAATGGTGCTGGAAGAAGAGGGAAAATACTACTCTAAAGCCAGACAACTAAAGATAACATTAAACTGTCTGTGCTGTGGGCAGTGAGGATGAGATGAAGGCAATCTCTTGTTTTTATAAAAGAAATACCTAAATACTTGGTTCTGTCCTCAGACCTTGGGTTAAGGAGTTTGATGGGCTCCTTTAGGCTGGGGCTGATGTAGGGAGTGTATTTTATTTCCTTGGGGCAACTGTTGCTCTTTTTGTAATGTTTTCCTTCTGTTTTTATTTGGTGAAGCTGCCCAGCGTTCTTTTGGAGGTGGGCAGCCTAGAAATTTGATAAATAAGTAAATATCCTGGCGACCTTTTTGCAGTTCATGTTGATACAGGATACCCTGTGAACCTGCTTTGTTTTTGCCTCCTAATTCCAGTTTATTGCCCTGCCATTTCTGTGCCTCTTTTCCTTCATGGTCATCACTTCCTTGTTCTCTGTCTTCCTTCTTGTTAAAAGGTTATGGCCTTTTGTTCTTTAGTGGTTCCACTTACATCTGCTTAATCTAGTCCTCTTGGGGTTTTTTGATTTAAAATTGGTACTAATTTTGTTTCCTTTGCCCCATGTGGATGGCAGCCCACAGGCCTGAAGGTTAGGGCCACAGGCCTCATGATCAGCGTCGACCTGTTTTTGCGGCGAAAGCTCAGTTCCCCAGCATCTTCTGAGTGCCAGCAGTCCCTGCTCGTATGTTAGGCTCAAGCTTTTAGACCTGCTTGGGTTTTAGCAAAAGTATCCAAGCTAAGTTACATTTTAACATGTTAAAATGTTTAGCCAATATTCTTTTTTCATTCTTTATTTCTACTGGTTTGCACTTAACTGTACCCACTATGTTTTGCTGTCTTTAAGTTTTATAGGATAATAAATTTGTATTAAAATAAGAATACTCATGTTCATAGTCATAATTTTGTAATCAATAATGCCAATAAAGTGTTGCTATCGCAGGGGTATGTGCATCTTGTTGAGTGTATCAGTCTTCAGCAAATGGATGTAGCACTCAAACCTATTTACTAAGTTAAAGTTTCTAGGCAAGACCACAGCTAATGGGAAATCACTAGGATAAATTGGCCCACTGAATGATGCAATAGTATGGCACAGGTTATGGCTCACTCACTCCATAGCAGGATGGGCTTGTGGCAGCTTTCCAGTACTACACAACACACCCGACCTAGCCAAATACACAAAGATCAAAATACCCAGAATCATGGACCTCATCAACCTCTGCCTCACTACCTACTTTCAGTTTGATGGACAAATATACCAACAAATCAGAGGAACACCCATGGGAACCCCACTCTCAGGACTCATAGCAGAGACTGTAATGCAAGGCCTAGAAATTCTAGCACTTCCCCACATACATCCAAAAGTATGGATCTGGTATGTAGATGACACCTTCATTATTATAAAAAAGGAACAACTAGAGAAACAATCAACAATATCTTCAGAGGTATAAAATTCACAAGGGAAGAAGAAAACAACAACACACTATCCTTCCTGGATATCCTCATCAGCAGAGAAAACGACAGCAAATTAGAAACCCAAGTCTATCGAGTAACCAAGTGCTCCATTACCAAAGCAACAACCCAACCTCCCACAAGAGTAGCTGGGTAAGGACATTAGTCAGATGAGTTGAAATGCACTGCAGCAACCCAGAACAGCAGAAGAAGGAAACAGATGACCTCTGCAACATCTTCCAACAAAATGAATACCCACGCAACTTTATCAGAAAGTGCCTGACTACTCAACCCACTACAGCACAACCAACAGAAGCTATGAAAAGGATAACACTACTAACATCTCAGAAAAAAACAACAGTCTATTACAACCACACAGCATCATTGTAGCACACAAACCAACTAAAGCCCTCCAAAATGTCTTAAATAAACCAAAAGACCCAGTAGCCCAAGATGAAAAATCAAGAATCATCTACAACATACAGTGTAAGGACTATAATAGCCACTATGTAGGACAGACAGACAGAAGACTAGCAGAGCATATCCATGAACACCAACTAGCAGTCAGAAGACACAATGAAAACTCCTTAATCTCACAACACATGGACAGACTCAACCATAGTTTCAGCTGGGAAATTTTGAGCATCCTAGATCAAGCTAAATCCGAAAAACGCTAGGGAATTCCTAGAAGCTTCACATTCAGACAAATCAGCCATCAATAGACACATAGAGATAAACCACATTTACACACCATTCAAAAGAAATAATTAAAAAAGCTAAGAAGGAAACAAAAAGTCCAGAACACATTCTTTCCAGCAGCCAACACCCAGATAAGCAGGGTTTAACACCAGACAAACAAGCAGAAAACAATATCCTAATCAAGGAACTACCAAGAAGAAAACCACACCCCCACCAACACTGACAGGGCAAGCTACTGTATATAAGCAGGAAGCAAACCCCACCCTCACCAGCATTGATGATGTTACCTAGTTGGGTAATGAAACATCTACAAGCAAACAACCAAGCTCAGAGAGCATCAAGGACTCTACAGTTCAACCCTGAGCTACATATATTCTCTTCTATTAGATTTCCCTCCTCTAGGTTAGAAAAGCCAGACTTTTTAAAGAATACTTAGTGATCCTTTCCCATGTGGTGTGCTGAGCCATCATTTCATATTGGCAGTGACTTGAGTTGTGTTTAATGTATATGTTTTGGGACAACTAGACGGTGTTGGTCATTAGCTGACTGACATCAGAGGCATCTGGGGCAAGTCATAATTTCATCAGAATAACTAAACTTGCATTGTGGTATCCCAGTGTAACTTCCACCCCTTTCATATTTGCATACCACATTGTGACACATGAGCAAAAGAGATGGAGGTGACATTGAAATTAACTTTTCATCATTTGCCTCTTACTTGCCTCCCCCACAGATGCTCATGTTTGACTTGAAGTTTGCCTACCTACAG